AATTCTTCAGTTTAGTCTTTAAGAACATTCCACATATAATGTGTTTTATAACCAATGGGAACAAAAAACTGTTTATTTTATTGATTCAAACAGTTTTACAGCTCATTTTAAATATTCAAGTGTGGCATTCCTTTTTAAATAGAAAGCTCATAAACAGATATGTTCATATGTGTTGGTTGTTATTGTACTTTTCTAATGTCTTTTAGATTTTTCWGCAAAGAAATGTTTTAAATCGGGGTTAGGGTTTGAACCTGACTYTGTGGATGGGAAGTTTCAGCAGATTTGTCTTCATCTTAAATATAAGAATTGTCATATCAGTTATGAATGTAGYATTATAAATATGTTTAAAACATTTCCTCATATGGTTACATTTACTCTTAAAGCTTATGAGAGACAGTAAAAAATAGAGGCAGTCCAAAAATAATATTCTTTTTTTAGGCACTTTAACAACAGTAGGAGCTGACTTCAGTGCAGATAATTTGATGCACAAAAGACAAGAAAACAGGATTTTTTAGTAAAATGTTTATTATTACCTTTGTAGTATTTTTTGTATACAAGAATGTGTAACAAAAGCCAAATAAGCAGTCCATTTTAGTCTTTTAAAAAATGGTAAGGCATGTCTGCTTGAATAACCATCGACTAGAATTCCCCCCAAATCCCTTTTAAACAGCGTGCACTGACAGCTCCAAACATCTCTGTGTGCTCCGGAGTCACTGACATTTGCAAATCACAACAGTACCACACTCACAGCATGTGTTTCAGCAAAAAGTGCAGCAAATAATTCACATTAAAATGGAGAAGATCTTGCATAACAGGTAACACTTTCTTTTACGGTACCCTTATTACCATGTAATTACGTGGTAATTACAATACAAAAGAAAAACTACTGTTAGTAAAYCTACCTTTATTGGGTAACTKCAATCAAATTACTTGTCAATAGTAACTCAAKACTACATTTATAACCAAAAGAARGCAACTAAATGTTGGAGTTAGTGGTTAACTGCAGTAAAATATAACTTTAAAACTGTCCAAATTACCTACTACTTATTTAGGTTTTACATAGTGAATTGTAACACATTACTTGGTAAGTGCTACATTACTYCAGACAATTAATTACATAGTAAAATTGTACCCTAATTACCACATAATTACATGGTAATAAGGTGGTAATTACAATTTAATTACATTTTTATTAACTTGTAATTACATGGTTATAAGAGTACCATAAATGAATGCGTTGCTGCTTAACACACTCGATTCTGAACATTTAGTGAAAAATAGGATTTTACTTTATTTGTATCATTTTAAAAGCCAAGATTACTAAAATAAAACAAAAATAAAATGACTAAAAGTGGATGACAGGCAAATGAAACCAGACACTGATCAGGATTTGTGAAGAAATACAGAAAGTTTTGAAGAATGGTATAAMGTTACCTCATGTTTTGAAGAAACAAAAAAACTACTTTTATCAAACAAAAGCTTTTTAGAAAACTAAAAGATTTTTTTTCTTTCTCAATTCAGTTTGCTTGTRGTGTTTCAGCAACACCAGCAAAGCCCTGCATTATCCTCACTCATCCACAGCTCTGATGCAATCACAGATCTTGCKGAGGCTGTAATAGGTGTATTCGACCTTTGTATGTCTGCAGATGCTTACTGGAGATTTTTTTTACACTGTGAGAAAACACAGTTGTTAGGCCTCAGTGAAGAGGCACTATCTCCAAAGCTCAAATAATGCCGATATGTGAGGTTCCACTGCCTTGATATCAGGACTTCACTGGTTATTCTGCCTCACTGTGGCGTTTAATACTTTAAAACTGAATTTMTATGAAGACAAATTGAGCTTCTGTTTTTGCTCTTGTGTTTTTTTAATTACTTAGTTAAATTTAATCAATCTAAAGGCTTTAAAGAACAAGAATTATYAACCTAACTTTGCTATTGTTTGCTTAAATCTCATTTGAGAGAGAATCACTCAAGTCTTTTATAAAAACAACAGAACTGAGTGCTACATTAGCTACAATTAAACCTTTTGCATGACACCATTTAATTAATTTGTAGCTGTTTTCTCATCCATGTCGCAACGTGAATGTTTGCACGCTGAAATTAGACCAGTGTTGTTCAAGGTGGGGGCCAAAAGGGGGTGCTAGAGGAGCCTCAGAAAGCTGGGGGAAGGATAAGAAAAAAAAAAGCAAAAATATAAAAAACAAACTTAGTAAATGTTTTTAATCCATTATCGTAACCTGCTTCTTTCTTTCAGGGTCACTGGTAACCAGCAGTCACTGTGCGAGTGGTGAGGGACACTCTGGACATGTCTCCAGCCCATCACAGGACCACATRGAGAAAAACAAACTTTCACTCTCTCACTCACACGTGAGGGCAATTTAGAGTTACCAAATAACTTAACAGTCATGTTTTGGTCTGTGGAGAAAACCAGAATACTCAAAACAAAAAGACAAAAAACAAACGCAAAGTCTAGCCAGAAAGGGCCCAGCTGGGGTTTGATCCGGCAACCTTCTTACTGAGAGGCAAAAGCTCTACCTACTGAGTCACCCATGAATCTTTCCCCCACAGATCATCTTAAAATATAACATATAATAATATACTGAAATGTTAGTCAGCAAAGTGGCTCAGTTGGTYGAGCTGTTGCCTCTCAGTAAGAAGGTTGCTGGATCAAATCTCGGCCCGGAAACCTTTCTGAGTAGAGTTTGCATGATCTCTCCGTGCACTCCGGTTTCCTCCCACGCACCAAAAACATGACTGTTAGGTTAATCGGCAACTCTAAATTGTCCCTAGGTGTGAGTGAATTGTGTGTCCCTGTGATGGACTTGTAACATGTTCAGGGTGTCCCCCGCCCCTTAAACTGTGACTGCTGGATATGGGCACCAGTGTCCCTGAAAGGAAGAAGTGGGGATAGATAACGGATGGGTATTAAAATGTTACACAAAATAACTTAAGAGTTCTGATGTAATTTTTGTTCTGTTCTTATCAGATTGTTGAAAAGCTGTTTGTGGGTTTGTGGGTGGGGGGGCAGACAGAAGCTAATGTTGTTGGGGGGTGGGGGGATGGCATGGAAACGTTTGGGAACACCTGAGCTAGACCATGGAGGTACAGCTAACCAACCGCCCAGTGGCTGGCTGCAGCACAATTTCAAGCCCGGACTGTCTTTGTAAACAAAAGGAACATTTTCCTAAATAAAAATGAAAAAGAAGACAGACTTATAATAAAATAGATAATAAAAGAGGACWTTGCCAGRGGTGCTGAGGCTGCTGACAGTATTAGCTGACACTGGAGCTGAGTTTACCTTTGACTGACTAAACTCACTGATCAGGCTGACTGATAGATTCATCTCCACTGACACGATAAACGTGCTTTATCCATGCTCTGCACACGTACAGCTCCGTGTTCACACGGTTGTTTGGTTGAGAAAACAGACATAAACTAAAGATGTCATGAAAAAGTGTTGAGGTTTTTAATATGAGCTCATGTATAGTTATGTTGTTTCTGATTGTTTTTTTCTTCTAAACCTGAAGAACAATAAAAAAACGTCTCATGACGAGTCTGAATGAAGATTTTTGCCTCTTTCTCCAGACTCTATGCTGTCAGACTGATGTCACGGCTGATAAATTACCAACCACTGATGGATATTAGACAGAACATGACTTGAGAGTTGTCTGGACATACTCACGTTCCAGTTTAATTTCCTTGTTTGAGAGCTTTTTTTCAACAAACACCAACTATCTGTCTGTGCAGTAARTTACCACCGGACACTATGACATTAGAGAGGACTTTACGTTAATCACTGCAATGTTTTTTCCTCCGGCTTTGGCCTGTTGCTTCCTCCAATTAAGGTTTACACGTCAGTGATTTAATCATAGCATGCTGGTTTTGGTGGYAGGCTGCTGTTCAGTCACCTTCTCCTAAATAGATTTCTGCGAGGAGTGAGGTGATGGAGGTCAACTGTCTTGTGTTGGGAGCTTCCTGCGGCGCTCGGGGCCTCTGTTGTGAGTCACACAAGTGCACCGAGGACAGATTTCCCTTCTGGTGCTCTGTGTGAAGTCGGCCGTGATGCTGGCACTAACTTTGTGCTCAGCGCCGTTCTCCTGCTCACCTAGTGCTGCCTGCAGGTGACAGCGAGACAGGGGGACCTCTTTTGTCCCGCGCTTGTCTCCGTGTGCTCCGGGAGAAATGTGGTCTCTTTGAGATACTCGGAGCAGCTGTTAATTTGCCYTGGACATGCATTTGGAGGGGTCCCCGCTATGATAAAGGACGTTTGTACTGTGAAATATTAAAGGAGCACCTGGATCCTGCAAACCTGCAAGTAACATTTTTCATCTTTCATGTAACATTTGTTGTTAATTACAGCAGTGGGCCTGCAACATTTTTAAAGCCTAACTTTTTTTCAATGACCAGGGGTCCTGGGCATTGTTGTGTTTGTGGCGTGCACATTGTTTGCTCTACATCCTGTTAAAGGGCAAAGCCTGTAGGAGACAAACTGAAGGGTAGGAGAAGTAACCCAATAGTTCTAAGAGCACTTTCACTCCTCTAACCTTGGTACTTTTCTACATTTAGAGGTGACACGGTCACGTCCTGTAAAATTACACAACCACTTCTGTAACCTATTTTCACGTGGAGCTGCTCTCGTTTGTTCGACAACAACAAAAACAGATGCAGATTTCAGAGTGGCGCGTCACGGTGTGTGAACCTGCAGAGCCTGCCGGGGAGTTCAGGAGATTAATCCACAATTTTTAGGCAAAAATAAATGCAACAAGAACAACAAAAGAGAAAGAGAGAGAGGAAAAAAACAATCCTGAATGGTTAAAGCATGGCATCCAGGGAAATACATCAAATTAATTTTCAATTGCCATATATCTAACATCATTACTCTCTCCGTCCTCTGAGGATTAAAGAAGTGTGCAGGTGCATGTTAATGACTCSAACAGAAGAGTAAACCAGGTAAACTCAATACTATTAGCAGGGAATTAGTATTGTTGCCGACACACTGCTAAAACAAATAAAAACTTTATAAAAGCAGCAATTACCTAAACCAGTAAAGGTTACATTACAGTATTTTCCAGTGAACTACATACTGTAACTGCTTATAAGTACAATACAATCAGTTAAATGATCTGAAAATATAAATCTTTTTCTGTATACGGTGGATGCTTCTTGCAGCTTTATAAAGACACTAAGCCAACAAAATAATCTGTGCAAAGTAGTTTTTCTTAGTGCAGTACATGAGCACTTCTGTAGAGACAATCAAATGTGCAACAGTAAAGTGGCTGTCAGACCTCCTGCCCCCCACCCCCGAAGCCACCATCACACCACCAAAGACAAATAAACTGCTAGTGCCGGACTGTCCTACGCCAACGGATCCCAAAAACGGTGCAGCCTACGGAGAGGAAACAAAAACTAAAGGAATAAATAACTAAAAATATATCATCTTTTACATCACATCCATGCATGCACACAGTAAAACTCTGCTTATTTCGTCTGATGGGGGGGAACTTAAATGAAAAGAAAGGGCGTCTTCTTTTCTCTTTATCACACAAAGGAAAATCATTTCCCCTTCATGTGAAAACTCACTGACACGAACCACCTCACGACCATTTCATCACCAACAAAAGAAGCCCACTTTAGATTAATGTGAAAACACCACTTTTCTTTTTTTTTCAGAGATGTGAAAGCTGGCTCACTGATGGCACAGAGCATTCTTTGGGGAAGAGGAGGGACGGGCGACAAGCAGGATGCAGCACTGCACTCACTTCCAGCCCTACTTTAACCATCCAATCAACCGTTCTCCACACGTTTCCAGGAGGTTCTACATGTCCAGTGAGGGAACAGCCGTATGATTTGCTGTAAAACATACTGTTACGTAACAGTATTAAAGTCAGTGATCGGGCCGCACTGTATTATCTCCACTGAGTCTGCAGTGCCCAAAGTGGGAGCGCGAAGGAGGCCATCACCAGRAGCTTGGAGGGTCCGCAGGAGTGCGACTCGCTCGGAGCCGCCGCTGCGGCGCGCTCGTTGCTCCGGTCGGCTCCGATCACAGGAGCTTCGGTCGCGACGTAAACCARCTCTGTCGTGCATCCGTCAGAGCAGTCGCTGCCGCTGCCGGACGTGCTGCCCTCGTCACCTGCAACAGCAAAACCACACAAACTAATGAAAATGGGATCGACTGAAGCAGTTTGAGCAGTAGCTTGTTTCAAAGCAAAAAGGCAAAAGAAAAAACAACAAATTTATCATTAACTAGAGTTTATGAAAGTGCCTGTGACGCCCATATCCTTCAAATACAAAACAATTAAAGAAAAAAATTTTATATTTAAGAAACTGGGCAAATGATTTTATCCATTTTGTCACAAAACTGGCAAATTTTATTTTGAAGTTGGCTTAACCAAAGGGAAACAGGAAGTGACATCAAAGGGGAACTCTTTAAGAAAAGGACTTTGTTTATTGAAACAATATTATTTAAACTCTGACTCTACTGTACTATAATCTACCAAATCATACAACTTTAATAATTTCAATTCAATTCAGTTCAATTRAGTTTATTCATATAGCACCAAGTCACAACATATGTTGTCTCAGGGCACTGTACATAAAAAGAGAACAATCTAAAGAAGAGGAAACCAGCAGGCTGCGTTGAATCACTTCATCACAGTCTCCCATCCTGAGCAAACGATGGAGAGGAAAAACTCCCCGCTAATCAGGAAGAAACCTCCTGCAGCAGGCTCAGGACAGGAGACCATCTGCCTCGACCGGCTGATGAAATAATATATTTGTTGGATGATAATATTTTCTAGATTATTATTCAGACTGGATTGTGCCTCAGTTTTTGTCAAGAATTGAAGCTACAGATTTATTAAAACGTCCCTTTTTGCTCCTGCACATATAAAATTACTGAACGWTTTTAAATGGTAGACCTTAAAACTGACAGCAAAGATGATTTTTTTGGAGGCAGCTTTCATGCTAACCACACATAGTTTGCAGCCTCGGCATACTCTTTCCYTCTCGTCAGCTCCAGCAGATCAACAGAAGCAGAAGTGATTGTTTCAGTCATGACAGCATTTGAGATGTACATCTGCCTAAACATAAACTTGGCTSTCTGTCACTGGCTGTGTCTGCACACCTAAAGCTATTTATTCACCTAATAATGTCAGTCTTGCCTCAGRGCAACACAGGCGTTGGTGACAAGTTCCAACATGAATGACAAATGAGATCTTATTTCTGCAGCTTGTGTGTCTGCGAGGATGCTGTTTGTTTCTTTGTCCAAATGGAAACATGGAGCGGGAGGAAAGGAGGGTAAAAACCAACAGAAGAGCAGGTAAACTTTTCTCCTTGCTGCCTCATCAGCAGGCCGGAGAACTTACTGGAGTCCTGGAAGTAGATGTCATTTCCAATGTAGGCATAGTTGAGCTTGTTGGTCATGACTCGTAGAGCCATGATCTGTTGTCGAATCAGCGTGTCCGGTCTGGTGATGTCCATGTCCACCTCGGGGTTGTTCACCTGGTTGGTTAGACCCTCCTTTACCACTTCTGGGAAGTATCTGAACACAGTGACAAACCAAAACAAGCACTTTAAAGTTGTAACCAATGAAACACTTTGAACATTTGCTCCAGTGAAACTTTCTTCACATGTTTGAATTCATTTCTTGCTGCTTTTGTGATACATTTTGGACAGAAGCATTAAAAGCAGTGGGATCAGAGGAAGTCAAGACAAAACATGACTCAGGCATGTTGAATGAGGACCGCGCTCTGCAGTGAATGAAGTGGATATGAATATGGTGCTGGGAATATTTCCAATATGTAATTCTAGTCAAAACCAAACTGAACCAAATCATCGAGCGTTATTCCAGAACAYCATCTCAGATAAAAGAAAATCTGAAACAAAAAGAAAAAATAAATACAACTAGATACTGCATAGAGGTGGCATATATGACCCCCTCACCTACACAAAGCACCAATGCACCAGAACTCACCACAGCTGTTTGATTGTTTTGGTTAGGGGTCCGGGGTGGGGTTGGGGGGTCAATGGTGGGCCCAATGGATAGCCCTTCATCAGTACTGAACAACAACAACATCTGAAGCTCCTGTTTTGAATAGTTTTTGAGTTATAAGCCTATTTTTGTATGTCCAGATACCCCACTTTTCAGAAGCYGTGGAGGCATGGGGCTTGGAGGGGTCATTGGTGGGCCCGATGGATAACTCTTCATCAGAGCTTAAAACAAAATCTGAAGCTCCTATGTTGAATTGTTTATGAGTTATAAGCATTTTTGTATGTGCAGGCACCCCCTCTTTGAATGGAGCCCCCTCCTCAAATACGGGGTCTTTTGTAAAACCGTTGGCTGGCGCAGTGTAGGTCGGACTCATCTACATTCCTGTCAAATTTCATGTTGATTGTTGCAGCCGTTTCCGTGATATGGTTGACCAAAAATCACTGAAAGAATAAATAGTAAGTAAACAATTTGACCCCTGCTTCATGTGTGGGTCATAATAAAAGCTTGACTTGGAGACTAATTAAAAGTTCCTATGATGAWTTTGTGTTTGAAATGTTGACTCTCGTTTTATCTCTTTTCTTTGGCTTTTAGCTGAAGAAAATGTAGTATTTTTCTTTTTATAGAAATGAAAAACCATTTTGTTTGCTCCCGGTGCCAAAGCAGGAACTCACGTTCAGCGACTCGAATGCTTTTGGACTCTTCATCCTGGTAAGAATGGCATCAGTCTTGTGTGGCTTTGCATCAGAAGTGTTTGTTTGCTGCTTTTGTCCACTGACGAGAAAAAGCTGCTTTATTTTAACTCGATACGCTGATCATTTAAATCGAGAAGTGGATGAGTTCTGACACTTRGTCGTGATGAAAGCTGTATGGAAATGACTTTAGCTGTGAAACAAATTAAAGTGAGGTAAATTGTACTGATTGAACATTCATGTCAGGGCTGCAGCAGGATGCCTTCTCCCCTGTGCCCCCCCTCTCTCAGCTCCCTTCATGTTTGCTGATGTGTCTTCTCTTTGTCCCTTTTGTGGGAACAAATGGGTGTGGTTCCTTTTATCCCTGAGTCCCTCTCGGTGCAGCTGTTTCTCATCACTTCATCAGCTGAACACTTTCTCTTCCTTGTCATTGTCACAGTGGTGTTCACCATCAATGAAACACAACCAGTGTCGAATGAAACTTGTTCCTCGACTTTGTAAAAAGTTTTTCTCTGTGATCCTGTCGACTGGCCAAGCTGCCCTCTGTCTGTTTTGCCATGGTCCTTCAGTCTGCTCACACACACTTTGAATCACTAAACACAATGGGCCTCATGCAGGAACATGTTCATATTCTTATCCTAAATTTCTCTTACTTTTGTTCGTACAAAGGG